ACTTGCGTTCCCACTCTCTACCTTTCCATTTTGTTGCACACACACACACCCCCCATCAGCAGAGCTTCTGTTGTGTCTGCAGCCAAAACAATATCCGTGAGCAGCGGACGCCATTCGACTCCCCTCACAGGTCGCCGAGCACTCCCTGCTAGCTAATTACAACAGGGTGCGTGTGTCTGTCTGCACCCCTCCCTCCTGCCTGAAAACACAGGGCATCTGCAGAGGACGGCGGGAGGGTTGCGCCAGGGTTGCGAGGGGGACGTATTTCTGACAAATGTGCCATCTCCATAATTAGCTGGAAAGCAACATATGAAACATTAAACACGCCGGGCGCTGACGACAATCAAAACATTTCATTTGTTGTCAATTATTCATTACTTTGAAGGTTCTGAAGGGGTCGTTAATATGGAAATAAGCTTGCGATGCTAACAAGGTTGTAGTATCTGATTCCAAATCATCTGAGCACAGAGCGCCCCTTCCCTTGCTTCCTTTCTTTTTTCCTTTTTTCTTTTCGGCTAATATTTTGCCTTTTTTTCTTGTCTCTATTGTGATTTCGTCTCTTATTCATGAAGCCTGCTCTTCAAACAAAACCCTTGAACAACAAGCTGCTTTTATCCACTTTAAACTCCATTTGATGGAATTCTTTGATAGCTCCGAGTTCAGCTCTGCCTCAAATGAAGTTAAACCACCCAAAACTAATCTAGTCCCATTTTTTAATATTTTTTTATTTCACCATTTTCATTCTTTACCTGACTCTATTAGTGGGTGCTTCCCCTCGGCGGCTGTCACAGCAGACCTGCCAAGAGAACGGTCAGTAAAGTTCCCGTCTGTAGCTTTTCACGGTTTAGTTGCTCTACAATTAATTAATGGGATGAAAAAGTCCCACACAGCACCTCGCCGCCTCTGGAGCAGCAGCAGCTACCTTTGCCAGCTGTCAAATTGGAGAGACGTGGACTGGAAAAATAAGCCCGAGGCTGTGGCTATTTAAGGTAATTAGTTCTGATTCATGCAGCTCTCAATCCCTATTACCTGTTAACTGCTGCCACCATCAACCAGCGTTCAGCCTGGGGAGTTCAGCTTTGCGTGTGCGTTCATGTGAAGACTGAAGGCACGGAAAGCAGAAGGATGCCAGAATCCAATCAAAGGTTTGGGTTATTAAAATATGACCAGTGATGTTTTCTGGGTGAGGCAGAAGTACAGTCAACCTGAAATAAAGGTCGATTGTGTTTGAGTGAACTTTTAGGAAGCTCTTTTGTTGAGTGCTGTTAATCAAATTGGATTCTGAAGCTTCCTGTTCCTAAAAATGTGACATTTATGGGATAAAACAGCCGAACATCACAGTTTAAGTTTATTTTCTGCTTAACCAACCCGCCAGGAGACATTATAAAGTGTTGTTTTTTCTTAGTTTCATTCATGGCATGTAGTACTGTGCAAAACTCTTGAGCCACCCCACATTTCTTTATATTTTGCTGTGAAAATGAGACGCCTGAATTACAAGTAGAGGTTTTCTTGTCATTTATTTAGTTCTCCAAGCTTTTGTTGTGTTTAACAAGTAGGCCAATCCAGAGAGAGTTGACAGGAAAGCAGGATATTAGGGAGGGGGAATGACACACAGGACATGGGTGAACTTCAAACTGGGTCATTGTAGTAGTTTTTGGCATATGGGTCACCTGCTCAATCGGGGAGCAACAGTGGCAACCTGTTTTCCAGACTTCTTCAAAGACATTCAAAGCTCTTTTTTGGGTGTTTCTGCTTTTTGTTCTGTTCTCTGCTGCTTCAACAGTGGCCCATGTAAGATGCTGGATTTTTTCCTGTGTCTTAAGGACATGGCTTTCAGATACTGTTCATCATCATTTTTTTAAGAATGCACAGCACGTCATGCTGAGATATGCCAAGTTTTCAGCTAATAGCGCTTTGAGAATCACCTTGTTGGTGCAAAATACTATTTTATGTCTGAAGAAATGGGAACAAAAGATGCGTTTTTGTGACTGGCTACAACACCTAAAGATCTAATTACGTGTAGACACAACATTGGTTCTTTCTTTGAGTTAAAAGAGATTAACATTTGTGGGATATCGGACTCTTTTACATCTGCTTTGACTGGGATCCATAAAGTATGTGATAACCAATATTAGTTTGTGCTGCAATTTTAATCATTTGGCAAGATTTTTTTATGCATCCCTACTCTGACTTTTCTTAGTATTGGAAGTACTATTCAAACTCACTATACTGTATGTTGATATAATCGACATACAGTATAGTGCTGTATAATCAATGTGTTTGCAAAGATTTAGAAAATATATGCATTTACCCATTTACTCATACTGGGTACCGGGTAGGACATCTCTTCCACTTTGGAAACAGCCAATCCGTCCTCTGTACTTTGCCACACTTGGTATAGTCCTGCGCCCTGAATACAACTGCCACTTCCTGTTTGCCATCCTGGCCTTTTACCTGGATTTGTTTGGGTGAAGCACAAGGAAACAAAACAATTTGGGTAAGTATGAATGTGAATCTGAAGTCGGTTTGACTGAATGTGCAGCTCGTTCATTAACTTATGAAATTTATTAGAAACTTAAATGTTTAAAAGGTTTGCTAGAATAAATGCCACCTTACAAGTTCTGTTGTTCAGCTGAAGATAGCAAATGAAGTATTTCTTTCACATCTGAACCTATTTCTGCCTCTAACACTCATCTACATCTGCTCCACCCTGCCTGCACTCTCTTCTTCAGTGGTTGACCCCTAGTATTTAAACTCGTCCACCTTCAACTTTCCACCTGTCGGCCTCTCATTCACACACATGTATTCTGTCTTGATTCTACCGACTTTCATTTCTCTTCTCTCCAGAGGATACCTCCACCTCCCCAGTCTTTCTTCCACCTGCTCCCTACACTCACTGCAGATCACAGTGTCATCATATTCCATGGAGACTCCTGTCGGACCTCATCTGCCAACCTGTCCGTCACCTTTGATGGGCAATGTATTAATATGTCATCGGCTACATCGCCACGGGATAATGTAATGTTTTTTTTTAAGTACAGCATTTGCAAACAATGTTAATAGTTCATCTACGGCTTCAGTACTTGGCAAAGTAATTTTATTAAAAGTCATCCACAAGTAACAGTAATAGTTGTGTGTTTGCAGAAAACCATGTTCCCTCACCTATCAGGTTAGAGGTTTGATCTGATTTCTGGCCAGCTTGCAGTCTTTCATTTGGATGTTAAACTCCAAAGGTCGTTTTTGTCTCTAAAAGCCAAAACTATCTTTTTGCTCTCTGACCTACTAAGCCACACGCAAGCAGCTTTTGGAGCATTTTTTACTTTGGATATTGGACTTAAAAAGTTATGTTTTAACTGTCAGTGGATCACTCACACAACCTTGAACTCCTGCCAGACCACATCATGCCCAAGCTTTTCTTGGAGCCGTGTAATTTTCACAGAGTTGAGCAGTACACAGAATTCACTGGCTCATGGTGACATATTCATTGAGAAACTGAGACTTCATAGTGTGAGTCTTTCTATATTTTTAGTGCTGGACACTACAGTTTAGAAACCAAATTTTAACAACAAGTTTAAAACTAACTCGGGAGATATTTTCGTCTTGGTGCTACCCAAGCTAAGCAGTTTTTTGCCCCCTACAGCTTTCAGTCTTTTTCTGAAGCTCATCTAAGAAAACATGTTAAAGACAAAGAGTACTGAAGTATCTTGACTAAAACTCTGACCTGAATTGGAGTATTTAGAGGTGTAAATATCTCACTGTAATGGCAAAAAAGCTCTGTAACCATTGGAGCAGCTTCAGAAATGTATTTTAGAACTTGCAACATTGCATCTCTTTATTTTATGTTCATTCTCCTGAAAATACTTCCTTATCTTAACTTAAATACTTACATTTGAAACTTTCATATGTAAGTCACTGTAAGTTAGATAGTTATACGCTGCCCTTCCTCTAGGGCAATTTATTTTAGCAACAAATTACAATCTACTGCAATAATTATAACTTTTTTTAATTTTAGGAAAGCTCAATAACATTTCTATTACACACATGTTTTCATGTTTAAAAATGTTTTAATCTACCCATAAGTGCTTAGATTTGGGGTATATTTCTAATCCTCTTCTACTGATCATGAAAAACCTTTCAAAAGTGCCACAGTTTGTTTTGCCTAACTAAACCTTACTTTGCCCATTCTTTGATCAAAACTGTCCACTTCCCTCAGCAAAGACGGAGCTACTTTGTATTTTTTTTCCCCCTGCATGTGTGTGTGAACCCAGCAAGCCGGCGGTCATCATTAAGACAGTAAATCTGCATATTCCTTCTCTCGCTCTCTCTTTTTTTTCTCCATTTTACAGTACAGTCACTGTAAGGTTAAGTAGCCCCAGGAAAGACAATACCAGCCACTCTTCAATTATTTATTCTCACATCATCCCAAAAAGATGACAAATGCTAATTTTGGTCCATTCCCCAGCTGGGCATCCAAGTGCTCATTAGTTTTAAAGAAGGTTAATCCATTTAGGTTTTGCATATTGATATGCCAATTATGTCTAATCGTGGAATAGGCATCCGTCAAGGTAATAGTGCATAAACACATGCAAGAACATTAGGGAGAAGTCAACGTTATAATAAAGTAGGTGTTAATTGGTAAGGGGAGGACTGTCGGCTAACTCATGTGTGTAATGTACAGACGGGTGAGGAAGAGAGAGGGGGAGAAAAAAAGGGTTTCATTAGATTCCTCCCTCACAGCCCAAATGAAAAAAAAAATGCTGTAATTTGCAAACCTCATGCTGTGAGCTCGCTGGGTGCTGTGCCCAAACGCTGCACCGAAGAGGAGGGTCACAGGGGTGAGGGGAGTGAGAGCTACGGCAGCATTCTGACACGGGCTGTTCAAAGAAAATGTTTTTGCAATCATAATGTGGGATCTAACTTTTGTTCAGTATAACTGCATCATCGTGTTTCCCCATGTGCTGTTGCGCTAAGCCATGACAATAAGAAACATGTCCTCCAAATTTAAAAAAAACTAAATTTTAATTTGCCTTTTGACATAGAAATCACTCATCAATCATTAAATTATTAATAAATTATATATAAGTGTACAATAAAAAACCATGGGATTGTTTCTTAGTTTTCTCCTACTTATACAAATAGTTCATTATTTGAATAGCATCGAACTTTTGAGAATTGTCACTTTTTTAATGAGACGTTTATAATCATTTATATAGAAGAAATATACAGAAATATAATTGGTGTGACACCGGTGTTAGCACTTTAACACTAATAGTCTGTTTAGATGTGATAAATACTATCTTTAATTATGATATAATAACTACGAGAAAAGACTTGCTGAGGTACTGTAAAAACCAGCAGTTAAAAATACAGATAATAATAATAATAACTAAGAAAAAGGCCTTTCAGAATGAGGGACAGTGAAACAAAAATCATTACTGATGTTTTTAAATGTACTTTTTCACACAGGGCCAGGTACTTGAGTTATCCTTGTCTAATATTACATTTTGTTTGATCAAATAGCAACAAGCTAATAAATCAAGAATGGTTCAAATACTTTTTCATACTTTTTCACACTTTTTCACATCACTATACGTATAAGAAAATATATTAAATATCTATTAAAATCAAAGGATTTATATCCAATTCACTATTTTAAATGCAAGATGATACATTTCACATCGCTGTGGTGTCATAAAATTGTGTAAATACAGTTTTCTTGCCATTATTTAAAGCCACAGCTTTAAAACTGAAGGTTAGTTGTCTCGTAGCATTTGGTCACATACCAATTTTGTTTCATTTCACGAAACAAAGACCAAGGGAACGTCAGGGTTCTCTCTCAATCTGAAGGCTGTTCTCAGCTTTATTTTAAACTGTCAACTAAAAATATTTTACTTCTGAGAATTTATGACATATATCTCTGCAACAGATAAAAAAAAAAAGTCTAACAATACAGTGAAGATAATGAGGCTCAAATGGTTCAAAAAGGCACAAAATGAGAGACCTGAGGCGTTTAAAGAAAGCATAATGCTTTACAACTTTTCTAATAATCATGAAAAAACACAGGAGTTTGTAGCAGTCAGTTCCTCTCCCAATCTTGCTTGCTGGCAGCCAGAGCCTCTCCCAGCGCTCTGATGAAGCGATGGACATCACTGAAGGAGCTGTACATTGGCACCGGAGCAACTCGCAGCACGCTCGGCTCCCTCATGTCACACTATGAGACAGGAAATGACAAAAGAGTTCAAAATGGTTCAGGTGGTCATTTTTTGAAGCACAAGGAATTAAAGTGCCAAAAACTGGAGCTCCTTCAATAGCCACTGGAGGCAAGTTACAAAAGCGAGCATGTCCCTATAGTTGGTTTTATGAAGTTAGTTGCTAAGATCATCCACCAGTCTGTGCTCTGGTTTTAGTGAGTTAAATGCTAATGTTTTATTTGTATGTACTTGGCACTAGTTATCAGGTATCTGTTTATAAAAACAAGCTGAATTCACAAACTTTGGACACTTCTGGCTCCAAAACAGAAAACAAATACAAAACTGAACTGGCTAAGATGCCAAATACGTGACCAACCCCTTTTCTAAATTTTTGATGATAACAAAACAGAACTTAAAATAAAAAGACAAAATTTACAATTTGATGTTAAAATTAATTACATTCTTGTATTTTTACCCGATTAGGCTCATACTAGAAACAGATATCGGGATTTATACTCACAGCGACACCCCTCTTCTCCAGCTCCTCGAAGACTCTTTTGATGGGAACAGAGAAGGAGAGTGAAAGCTGGCAGCCTCTCTGCTGAGGCTCCGACGGTGTGATGATGTGGACGTGAGGTTTGTGAGGCTGAGCCGGGTCCTTAGTGTAGTAGTGCTTAATCAGATACTCCAGGTAGCCGGTTAGTAGGAGGGACTTCTTGCGCAGAGCCTGCATGGTGGTCATGTTAAACACCTGGCAAGATTTAAATCGTGTATGAGGAAAGAAAATGAAAAATTGATGTTACTTCAGGCAAATGTTGTTTTTTCTTGCACAAGACTATGCTGATATATTAAGGAAGCCTGAAAACAGCATTTTTCACTTCCATAAGACATGATTTTAGATCTCAAATTTTAAAAAAGGAATTTTGTGCCAGTGCACTACATACATACATTACATACATGTAATGACAAAAACATACACATAACACTTGTAATGTAATAACGGACATGTAACTTCAATAACCTGCACATAGCACACATGTAATGTCAATGGTTTGCATATAATGTCCACAATATACGTGTAATTTCAATGGCGCGCATATATTGTACACGTAATATAGTTGTTGTTTTGTTTTGTTTTGTTGTTTTCATTTACACAAACTACATATAATTTGTAACGATTCACAATTCCCGAAAGCTAAATAGATGCTAATAATCCTGGAACCTTAGCAAGCTTATAAAATAAGTTTCATTCAGGTCGATTAACATGTCTAGAAGGAGTACCTCCAGACTGGCCTGCAGTGGGCAGACCAGCAGGATTGGTTGGTTCGACAGCCTGAAGCCGCTCACTCCAGGCTGCAGCTCCATCACTAAAAACAGAAGGAAAAAGTCAAGAACCCTTTCAAAGCTTCAGGATCCATTCAGTTCATTTAAAGCCTGAGAGGTGTGCTCTTTACACTCTAAACATAAAGGTCTCCAAATAGGCAGAACTGCAGGTGTAATGTTCACATGAGACCACAAGATGGAAGCAAATAGCAACTCTAAGAGCACACAGCAGGCTTGAGAGAGGTACTGAGTAGGCAGAGGTCAGTGAGGAATCTGTGGTGAGTTTTACCGTTAGTCATCTGAAACCGAGACTTCAGGTCATGTCCCCACCATCCCATCAGCCTGAAGGACACAGGAACAGAGAGCTGTGTTACTTTATTTAATCCAATCTTTAATCCTGTCTATTAACGTATTTTGACTAATTTAAGAGAAAGATACTTGAGTTTAAAAGTTTGATATATTTTATCCTTTGATATTAGTTTCACTATCCTAGATGTCCCACATCTGGCCGTGACTGACTCAAGGTGTCACTTGCCAGTGCTGTGACTGAACCAAGAGTGTCAAAATTAGGCCAAAAATATCTGGGATATCCTACCAACAAAAATCTCCACCAGCTAAAATGTCTGTGAGGAGTGTTTCTTACGTTGGTTTGATGGTGTGTTTGTGTTTCTCATGGATAAACGCTCCAGCGAGACCACCAGCACCTGAGTTTATATACTGCAAACAAAAAAGCCACAGTCATCACAAAGCATTTCTCATTTATACTTTTATCTGATAATTGTACTGAAATCGCCTGCAGTTCATTAATAGGGCAGTTAGTGAGCAAGGTAGTCCTCACTAAGGTGGAGTGATTGGTGATAAGGAGATAAGTATTTACCTCTGCCTTTATGATACATGAATAAAAAAGTCTGTGAAATTTGTCTGAAATTAAGATAATCTCGGACATTTTCACATGCCCCGTTCTGTCCTTTTAGGCTGTTTGCTCTGCTCTTGCATCAGTTTCTCTTTCAAACTGTCCTGGATTACATGTGATGGTTTATGGCAATTAACAAGCAGTTTTCAGTTTAAATGATCCATAGTTTTCAGCGATGGCGCTAAGGTAGATGTAACATCGCTGCTGCAGAGAGATCAGAAAGTAGCACTACAGAAGTTATTGAATGGGAGATCAGCCGAATTACCTAAGGCTTTTGATCTTCAAAGGCCCCTTCCATTGGTTTTTGATAAAGACATCCCCCATGGTCATTCATAAACCAAAATAAATAAGTAATAAACTGTTAAATGACAGGTAGTTCCAGTTTTTTCAGTATCTGTTATAGAATTGCATGATTTCTTACTCTTGAGTTCAGAAAAATCTAACCCTGATAGGTTTGTGTGCTTAATTTCTCTCATGAGCTGCTTTGTGCATCCTGGCAAAACAAAGAAATATTCTGTCAATTAATAAAAAAACTTTGATTTTATAATAATTACATAATTACAGGACAGTGTGGACAATGAGATACTAGAAATTTTCTATAATTCATTTCTTTAACTTTAAGCCCAAAGAGTCATGCTGCCAGACTTCTTTCCTTTACTACAGCACCATTTCTTTATCAAATAGAAAAACAGATCTATTGTTGAAGTTCTTTTTCTTACATTAAAATATCTCAGGGATTAAATGTGAGTTTTGCTGGTCCGGCTCACTTGAGATCAAAGTGAACTGTATGTGATGAGCCACGATGTAAAATGAGTTTGACACCCTGGTATAAGCGTCTAAAATCGGAACTGGTTGTATTGTCTCAACCTTTGCCAGAAAGAACATTAATATTCCTCAGAAAGGACATTTGTCCTACAGCTCCACAGAGTCTCATTCACTCTGGACTGTGTCTGGATGAAACAGTGAGCAGGACTTTAGAAGTCTCCTGTCAGCTGACCTTGTAGGAGCACCAGCAGGCGAAGTCGACACCCCAGTCGTGCAGTTCCAACTCGACGTTTCCTGCCGCGTGGGCGCAGTCGAAGCCGACATAACAGCCCTGACAGACAAACAGAGGACACAGTAACAACTCAATATACAGCACAGAGCAAAAGTCTTGAGAAGGCCCTGATTAATTTTTCTTTTGCTTCCAAGGTAACAGACTTTCTTCAAATTTTTGAAGTGGTCTTGAGCAATAGCTTTCCAGGACTTGTAGAGATCTTTCAAAGTTTTCTTTGGACATTGACTCTTTCCACAACTCAAGGAAACATTTGGTCAAGCTGGAAAGTTTCACAACTGAAGAGCTGCATCAAGAAATATGGGATTTATTGCAAATAACACCAATATTTCATAAAATGATGGAGAGATGCGGTGAAAATTTCAGATGAAAATGGGGAAAAGATTTGGGTGTAAACACACAATTGGAAAAAGGGAATAGCGTTGTTGTTAACGTTAGTCAGTCAGAGTCACAGTGGGCAAAACTCACTCAGTTAAAAATTGTGCATCAGTATTATTGTTGGCCTATCAAACTTCGCAGAGTGGGTGTGATACCCACCAACTGTAGCTGGAGATGCAGATCTGCGATTGGTACTTTTCTTCATCTTGAACTTTTTTGGAAATAAATAATGAAAGCACTGGGAGCAATCATATACATGCTTTTTTATGTAACTGTCAACTCTCATTTAAGCAATACAAGAAAATGGGGAAGGTTCTGGTGACTGCAAGGCCTCATTGAAACATCATTAAAGACTTTTATCTGAGTATTTTGGGTTACAGTGGTTTTCAAACTCTTTTTGCTAGGCCCCCCTTTGTTTTATAAGAAAATCTGTAGCTTTACTGTATAAAGAGCTAACATCTCCAAAATGTCAGTAGTAGTTCATTATTATAAGACGTGTTTGTGAACTAATCAAGAATGTGGGATACTGTTTGTCCGTGATTTGGACAGCCCAGCGCGTGCTCCCAATGCAGGGGAAACAAACTCTGCCGGGGAGACCTACCTTGGCACTTGTGCAGCTAAAGCCAAAGGCAAGATATGCTTCATCATATTTTCTAGTCTAGCTTGGAAGGAAGTTGGTTTGGAAACACTGCGCCCCCCAGTAATGTGCCCCCCACTTTGGGAACCACTGGGTTACAGTATCCTCTCCTCACCTTCCTCTGGCCAGCCTCAGTGATGCGGGCCATGTCGAACAGCTGGCCGGTGTAATACTGAACCCCGCTAAACATTACCACTGCAATAGAGTCGCCCTGCTTCTCGATCACCTCCAGGATGTCCTCGGTTTTCAGGGTCTCTTCTCCCTGAACACACAGAAAGGAGCATCAGTGCTCAGCATTGTCATTTAAACGGTGTTTAGTTTCTAACTGACACAGAGCTACAGACATGTTTGTTCAAATAACAGCATGAAATGCACTCGATAAGTCGGCAACTGCTCTTCATCTTTGAAAGTTAAGATGCTGTGAAAGTTTTAGTAGTGATATGCTAACACGTGACGTGAAGTAGATGACCTGAGGATTTGCTTTGGGGAGGAAAACTATCCAGCAATTGTTCCGTCATGGAGAAATTAGTTTAGATAAAAGTGTACAGTGTGTTACCGGCTTGGGTGACAGCAGCAGCATGCTGTCCTTAGGATCGAGTCCTCGCAGACGGATCTGAGACTCCACAGCGTACTGAGGAAAGAGATTCAAGAAGGACACTGAAGATTTAACCCTCCTGTTATATTGCAGGTCAAATTGAACCATTTTAAATTGTAAAAATGTAAAATAAATAGTTTAAAGTATTTTTTCAGTATGAAACTTCTTGTGCTTGGCTTCATAAAGGTAATCAACATATAAAATAAAAATTGTGCATTTTCACATATGTACAACCCATGTGTTACCCACATGTCCCAGGAAAAGTGGGTAGGACAGGAACCTTTTATGGGCAGCATGTGATGCAAACACCAGCTATACACTAAACATGCAGGTTAACACTGGGAAGCCAGCTGGAGGAGCCTCAGAGAAGAATCGTGTCACAAAGGTTGTGCTTGATATGCCACAAGATCTCAGGGGCACAACATAACCTGTGACTACAACTTGGTTCAGGAGCTTCTAAAGAGAAAGCTCACGATGGTTAGAACAGTCCGAAAGAACTGAACTGAACTCCCTGCTGAGCTGCTGAAAACCAAGAACAGGGCCCCCCAGTCTTCCATATTTGCCTTCACAGACACTACAGCCCTGGTACCTTATTGCCACAAAAAAGGGAAAACAGTTGTCCTCATGAGCACTTTGTACAAAAATGCTGAAATCAGCACACGAGAGGACCAGAAACCAACTATGACTCTAGACTACAATGCCACCAAAGGGTGGGTTGACAACTTGGACAAAGTCACAGGGTCCTACAGCACCAAGTGAATGACTGCACGCTGGCCACTGGTCATCTTTTACAACATCGATGTATCAGCCTACAACACATTTGTCATTTGGGCGGAGATCTTTCCTGAGTGATGAAATGTCCCTCATGTGCTGTGTAGACACATGCACCTTGTTCATTTCCACCTATTAATTTTTGTGTATTTCTGGTTCTAAACACTGGATAGTGTTTATTATTGCAACATATGAAGACATGTCACTTGTGTGCTGTGGAGACTCACAGACACACACACTGTGTTCATATTGCTATCCCTTATCTTTCTAGAGTTTACTTTCAATACAAATCCTCTTGAGTCATTAGTCTTGATTTTAAGTCAGTTTGACCCAGAACAGAAGAGATGTCACATGTTACTTTCTCTACATCACTACATGCAAAGAAAAAAAATGTAAATTATAAAACAAAATTTTAAAATAATCAATGTCATGTAAAACTATTGTGTTTTATATGCAGGTCTTTCTAATGTGCATTAAAAATGTTTTAAAATGCATTTTTTATGAAAAACAATTGAACCACGATTTGTGAGAGGTAAAAAAAAACCACACCACTACACCAAATATTGTTGGAAATGGTTAGTAACAGAGTTAATAATCAGATATAAACATAGTAAACATGCCCTGGGTCAAGTTAGCCCACGAGCGGTGTTCCTGAGAAACTAACATAACAGGTCGGTTAATGACCAACTTGAACTGAGGAGACAAGAGATTATTTACACCATAGACAAGTAAGAGAAACACTGAGTGCAGGAAAAGACTCAGTTTAAGTCCTTTTAGGACCCTTTAGGTCCAGTCTGCATGCAAAAGTATTGATGGGCAAGATACTGAACCCCAAGTTCCTCTCTGATGCATCCATTAGATTATGAATGTTAGATAGAAAACACCTAGGTGTAGAAAACATGTGCTTGTATGGATGGGCGAATGAGGCATATTGCATAAAGCACTTTGAGTAGAAAGTTGAGTGGAAAAGTGCTGTATGAGAACCAGTCCATATGTTCAACTATAAATAAAATATGGGTTTATGAGATTTGCAAATCCCTGCATTCTGTTTTTATTCATATTTTACAAAGCTTTTTCAGAAATGGTATTGTACTTAACAAACTTAGGGTCAAGTCCATCTCTAATGTACACTCTGGACAGATCTCAAAAACCTTCCTCCTTCAATTAATGTCAGTTCTTTGGGCTAGAAATGTTTCTCAAGTGTTAAAACTGGTGAGAAACACAAGATCAAACCCCAACTAATCATCCAGTGAAGTTTAATTTTTCTTTTGAGTTAGACAAAACTAGTAAAGCTGAATTCATGGATCAGGGAAAGAAAAATCCCCAAAGGGAGGATTTGAGAAAAAAATGTGATCATGAGTGGATGTACTCACGTGATCAGATGGAAAGGCCTTGTCCTCTAGAAGGATTTTATGTCGAGTTTTAGTGGGTTTGTAGAAGGAAAGCTGCCGAATAATTGAAGGATATTACTGTTCAGTTTGAAAGTTGTTGAACTATGTGTGTTATGTTTGTATATCTCATCATTTAAATGGGGTGAAACAGTGAGTGATTGTATCATACCAACAAAAGATGTAAATTTACTGTCAGACCGTTCATCAGTGCCACTTCCTCAGTTTTAGCTCCTGTCAAAAACAAAAGAAGAAAAACAATATGAGTCATGATCTTAATTAATATGTGAATATTTGAGAAATTTCCCCAAGGCTTTCATTTCATTTCAGTAACAGCAGAAATGAGGAAATCCGGGTTATTTAAAGCATAGTAGCCTTTGTTGAAACCTTCAGTTCACAAAATGGTCAAACTATAGTCATCTTTATCTGAAGGACTCAAATGATCACATGTATTCTTGTCATTGTCTTCCTCATCCAGAACTTGCGAATGAAATCACAGATGCACTTTGCACTCTTCAAAACAGGCCTGGATGGAAAGGTGCAGTGACTACCAGCTAAGGTAAATGGGACAGACTGTTTTAAAACTACAGCTGTGTGTGAGCATCACAGAAGAACACACAAATGTGAAACTCTAGCTCGAACCATCCAAGAGTTAGCTCAAGTTGACATGGAAGCTTTAGAAAACATTTTTATTAGGACCACTATGAGTATTTTCAGTGAAAAGGAGACTTATTTCCAACTAAAATTGTTGGAAATAACAGTCTTTCCTTTGGCAGGTTCTGCTCTTGGACCTCTCGAGTCCTTTCAAAGACGCAGAACTGACTGTTGCACAAAAAAGAGCAAATTGGCAAAAATAGAAAGCATGGAAGAAGGGGCTGGCAGACGTGGGTTGTAAAGCTACTTGTAGAAGTTCTCCAACCGTGGGCAGGCTAAAGCAGCTTAGGTCCTAGTCACACGGGCCTAGAGACTTGTCAGTGACCATCTTTGAAACCCCTGGTTGCTAGGAAAAAACGTTATTCCTCAGCTGTTTGCTGGCTGTCGCTGTGAAAGCATTTGCTAAAGCTGCAATCACACAGGCCTATAGACCAGTTTGTGAACCCCTGGTAACCACCAGTTGCTAGGGCAATATGTGTACCCCATGACCGTGGTAGTTTGCATGGATGATGGCAAGTTGTCTGCAAATTATGGTCTTCCATAATTTCTTTAGGGATTAACAAAGTACTCTGATTCTAAATTTACTCAACGGTATCAAAACTGTGAGAAGTGCAGTGCTAGAAAGTTCCCAAACCCCTTCAAAAACGCCAATTGCCTTTTGGATTTTCTTAATCAGTCAACTGTTACAGCCATTGTCAGACTAGTTCAGGTGAGCCAAAATTTGCAGCTTTGGAAAACATCGTGTTCTCCAAAAATCCTGACCTACTTTAGAGGGACCAGCCAAGCGTCAGTGTTTCTTACCTACAACTTTGGCCATCAGTTCCTCAATGTTGTTTTCAGCCCATGCCCAAGGTCTCGCACCCATTGTGTGTCCATGGATAGCACTGTAAAAGAATACATCAATACATGCCACTGTGCCTCATCCTTTGGTATCAAATATAAGCATTAACGTACATCTTGGCCCACGTCTCCAGTTCCTCTTCCAGGTACTTCTTGACATTTTTAGGCTGCAGCCCCAACGAGTTGCCCGAAAAGTAGATACAGTCCTTGGCACCATTGACCAGTGAAAGATCAGCTAAAGAAACATCAACAGAATTAAACAACTGCTAATAATAAATATTCTTCTCCATCAACCTTAATGAGACATTTTTCACTCACAAGGCGGCAGCTCTGTAATTTTCGGTACCAGAAATTCCTCCCTGAGATGTCGCAGTTTGTCATGTTTGTCGAAGTAAGCAGCCACTTCTGCAGAGGTCGGACTGCAGCCCAGAGAGTCAGACACTCGTTTCACAGTTTCGCTGGGAGTCAAGCCGTCAAACTCATCCATTGTGGAGGGATCGGTGGGCTGCTGACCTGCAGGAATAGCATCAGTTAGGGAAGACATTTTATCTTTATTAGGAATAGGGTTGCAGTCTCTGGATGCGTAGACTTCCAGATCTGTTTTTTAGGTGTTTACTGACATTGTCTGACCTTCCTCCCGTTAAAGCTAGTCTGCCTTCAGGGTTTAATTTAAAATCCTCTGTGGTGGTGTTACAGATACATGTAAAGGAACAGCAACAAAAAAACAACAAAAACCCAAGTCTGGTGTTTCTGGTAGTTAAGCTCACATGTAGACAGACACTGTGTGATTCCTTGTTTGACCAAATGTCCCGAAAACAGCACTCACTCTAAGGGCAAGTTAAAGTTTAGTCACAGGTCTCTTAGTTTAACCTCATCTGTGGTCTGAAATACACCCAAAATAAACTCTAAGTGTTCTTAGCAGAACATGTCGTTTGTTTGTATTTTCTTAGAGCTCATGTTAAAGGTCCAAGTGCAAACTTTAGGATTCGTCCACCTTTATAGGGGCTTATTTTTAGCTACTCTTTAGAGTGGCTAGTAATAAAGGAATAAACTGTTTCAAGGGTCCTTTTTTTTTTTTTTTAGATCTGATTGCTGTAGAATTATGTAAAGATACAAATTAGTTTGGGTTGTCCTATAATCACAACACTGTTACTCTGGAAAGATTCATTATCCACATGGGATCATTTGTGTTGTAAAGGACATTTTCAGTCTTTCTTTTAAATCTCTTTCTCTGCATCATTTTAATATCTTCCGAACCCCAAACCTGTTGATATGCGAATGTTATGTTTTAGTCATTGGTCTGACTGGTTATTTACCTTTGTACATCTCTATATTCAATGCACATGCTACAAGTGACTGACGCTGACCAAGGTCGGGCTGCTGGCATGCTGGATTCGTGAGCTGTACCTGCAGCCATTAGAGTACCGTCTCTGATCGGACTGCTCTTGGTGGAAATCTGACTGGACAGAGGCACTGAGATGAGGTGCTCCAACCTAAAGCAGCGAGGAATGCCCAGACCTCTACATTGGAGA